ACCACCCTGGAAATAAAAAACAGCCCACTGAATGTGCTTCTTTATAAATGTTTACGCTGGCTGCACACAAATAAAATATATTACATACACAAATATAGTAAGTAAACTGAGAGACAAAATATTAACACCATTTTATTCAAGTGGAAATGATGTATATGGGTAGCAAAAGTAAGCAGCTCCTTTCAGTGAAATGTACATTACATGAGGATATTAATAATATATCAATAAAAAGTCTAAATCAGTAAGGCAACACAAACACAACCACACATAAACATATACAAATATATATATATATATATATATATATATATAAAACTTAACCGCATCACTATAACTCCAGTCTTAACAGTGGAATTCAATTCAGATCCAGTTCTTTTGAGCTCTTGGTTTCAATGAATCAAGTGTCCGATTCAGTGATTCACTTCTGTTCCAGACTCTGGGACCAAAGTTTATTTACTGAATTTTTTTCCAGAAAATATATACAATAAGCGTTTGTTTATATTTTTAAAAATAGTTCACACTTTAAACCAAGACTCAGCCATGTTTAAACCACTTATGAGCAATGATTCAGTTCGATTCAGTTCGATTCAGTTTATCAACTGATTCTTCCAAACTGCCCAATTAGCCAAATATTCGTTTTGACAGTTCATTTTTTTTAAACGTACATATTTCAGGAGTCGAATCAACTTTATTCTCATCTACTCTGTATATAAAAACGTTTGATTCATGACTCATGAGTGAGTCACATGTAGGCTTCTTCTGCTCTGACTCAGAATTAGGCAATATTAACTAAAATCTGGACGATAATGATATTATGATATACTAAAAAAGTAGTGCTGTTATTATTATTATTATTATTATTATTATTATCATCAGTAAGAATGCTCTCTTGTACATTGTGATGTAGTTACTGCTCAGACTGAAAATATCACATTAATGATGCTCGATTATTATAATAAATCATATTTATATTATTAATTACACCTTATACTATATATATATATATATATATATATATATGATGAAATTAATAATATAAATATGATTCTTTATATATATATTGTTACATACAGAGGCTACACTTCGGCAGCCCAACCCAAATGTATTGACAGGCACCCAATCATATCGCATCCCATTTTAACAAATGCCAAAGAAAAAGTATTTTTTATTGTTATGAATGAACATAACCTACAGTATCACTAAAGCAAAGCATCACTCTTTTTCCTGTGGTCATTTCCACTCGCTAAACCTTCACTACGAGGTGGTCCATGAAAACATAAAGGGTTTAACACTCACTTATTCAAACAAATGCTATGTTGAGTTCAGATTTCCATATATCTGAATACCGCCCCACCCACATTTGTTTCAGACCTGTGGGAAACACTGACTTTCAGGAGTCTAGAATATATATTTATGATTAATAATAAATATTACTAATGTTATTAATGTTATTACTAATGCATATTATAAAGGTTCGAATCTTGTTATGCTTCTTCTTGAGTTTATTAGAATCATTTTAGTTCATGTTTTATTCTTTTTGGTGGGCGGGGCTGTTTATAGGTTTATCATTTTTGTAGCATAAGACTGTGTCCACGATATGATAACCATAACATGAGACAAATTCATGCTGGTGTTCACGATTATGCTGGTGAAAGCTAAAAACCTACAAACAACATCAGCAAAAACAAAAAGGGTTCAATGTGGTATTTTTATGTTATGAATGTACAGTGTGAAAATATATTCGAATAGGAAGAAGGGGCGGGCAATATGACGATATTTCATCATTTACAGCATTTAGCAGACGCTCTTATTCAGAGAAACTTACAGTTTGACCATTTTACACAGGTAGGTGAAGGTAGTGTTAGGAGTCTTGCCCAAGGACTCTTCTTGGTATAGTGTAGGGCGCTGCCCAGGCGGGGCATTGAACCCCGTCTACAACGTAGAAGGCAGAGGTGTTACCCACTACACTACACCATCAATTATGTCACAATATGTTTTTCAGAGCATATTGTGGATATCATCAGTATTTAAAACCCATCCAGTGCAGTTTGTGATATATTTCGTCTTTTTACCCCTACCCTAAGTTTTCGAGTGTCACCCTAACCCCTTGGAACTGAGTTGAAAGGGGTAGTGGTTGAAATCTTGCCCTAAGCTACTACCTGTGCTCTCTAGGCGACCCGGCCCATCTTCAGTGATAACAGAGGAGGGTAAAGTTCAGCTCCTCACTGCTGGGCTTTAGTTACATTTAGGGCATCATATGCCTTCAAAGAGGGGGGCAATTATTTACTATCACCCACCCCTAATTCTTTGGTGAATACGAAGCTGAAGTCAGATATTCACCAGTTTCTTGTTCAAATTGTCCCGTTCCACCTTAAATGGTGCAGCAGTTACATTCTGGCGCTTCAGGCATCAGAACTGCTGGACTATTTAAGGTGGAATGGGAAAGTTAGCTAGCTAGCTACCGAAACATTAGCATGCTATTAGCGATTTTTTTATGCTTGTTATGAAGAAAACGACCATAATACACTGAAACGACATTAAACTAAGATAATACAGTGGTTATCGTAATTTTTAACAGAGAAAATTCTCACATTTGTGGGTTTCTTTGGTTGCTTGTTCAGCCATCTTGCCGGTTTTCTTTTTTTTCATAACATTCTGTTTGGAGCGGTGCCTCTGAAAACCCTCCGTTATAATAAATAAGAATAATTGTATTGATAAAATGTCTTGAAGCATCATGATATACAACCCCATTTCCAAAAAAATTGGGATGCTGTGCAAAATGTAAATAAAAATAGAATGCAATGATACGCAAATCATGTAAACCATAATTCTAAAGGAAAATACTACAAAGACAACATATCAAATGTTGAAATTGAGAAATTGTATTGTTTTTTGAAAAATATATGTCTATTTTGAATTTGATGCCAACAACATGTTCCAAAAAAGTTGGGACGGGGGCCTGTTTACCACTGTGTTTCATCAGCTCTTCTTTAACAACACTCTGTAAGCATTTGGGAACTGAGGAGACCAACCCAGAGAAGGTGGCAGCATTTCTGGGTCCCATTTATATGTGGTTTCTTCTTTGCATTTTAGAGTTTTGTGGATGCAGTGATGAACTGTTTTCACAGGCAGTGGTTTTCAGAAGTGTTTCTGAGTCCATGCAGTGATTTTCACTACAGAATCGAGTCTGTTTTTAATGCAGTGCTGCCTGAGGGCCCAAAGATCACAGCCAGCAAACATTGCTTTTTAGCCTTGTCCCTTACATACAGAGATTCCTCTGGATTCTCTGAATCTTTCAATGATATTGTGCACCATAGATGATGAAAAGCAGAAGTTATTTGTTATTTTACATTGAGAAACGTTATTCTTGAATTGTTGCACATTTGCTCATGCAGTCTTTTATAGAGTGGTGAACCCCTCCTCATCTTTACTTCTGAAAGACTCAGCATCTCTGAGATGCTTTTTTATACCCAATCATGTTACTGACCTGTTGTCAATCAACCACCATGTGTTTTTTTTAGCATTACACAACTTTACCAGCCTTTTGTTGCTCCTGTCCCAACTTTTTTGGAATATGTTGCTGGAATCAAAATCAAAATGGGCAAATATTTTTCAAAAAACAATAAATTCCTCAGTTTCAACATTTGATATGTTGTCTTTGTACTATTTTCAATGAAACATAGGGTTTAAATGATTTGAACATCATTGCATTTTGTTTTTATTGACATTTTGCACAGCATCCCAACTTTTTTGGAAGTGGGGTTGTAGTACTTTTGCCATATTGCTCATCTATAATTTGAAGTCTTCAGGGGACCAAACACATCTGACCCAGCTCATGAGGTAGTTATCAGGCTCTTAAAGGGGAATTCCACCAATTTTTCAGACATTCTGAATAATTCAGTCATTGAGATGTAATCAGAGTCACTCAGAGCAGTTTGGTATGAAGTGGTTCATTGTAGAGTCTGAATTCTTTACAGTGGTGGTGATGGCAACCAAGCGTCGCCATGTGTACAACACAAATATAGCCATTTTATCTACTATCCAAAACCACCAGTGAACCTACACGAGTCTTCTGAGTTTTTTTTTGTAATGTTGATGATGATAGTTATAAATATGAAAAAATATGTTTTCTTTGGGGACTATTTTGCCTTGCAACGCCCTGCATGTACCCCTCCGCTGTGGATGGGATAAAATAAAAGGAATAAAACACATTTTAAGCTAAAACTTTAACATAAAACTCTTATAAAACAATGTGGCAGGCATCAGGCAGAATACATCTAACAATTTCATGTAATAACTTTATGTGAGGGAGTTTTCAGAGGTGGACGTCTGGTTCCTATCACCACCACTGTAAACACTTCTGACTCTGCAAGTTTCTCTAGAACGGGAGCCTTTCACACCAAACCCCTCTGAGTGTCTTCGTTTGCATCTTAACCCTTTAATTATGTAGGATTTTTTGAAAAATCGGCGGAGTTCCCCTTTCATTGGGGTTTTTTAAGGGGAGAGAATACCCGAGACGTGTGGAGGGTCTACTGATTCGATGGTTCAAAAGAGCCGATTCGTTCATGAATCGTTCGCTCCCACCGACCGTTATCACACACCTGTGGCGTTTCTTACGTGACAGCAGACACACCTCAGGTTTTGGGCGGTGAATTATACATCGTATAAACGGCTAGAGGACTCATATGAACGTGAGAGTACGTGTTAAAGACGGTGAGTCGCCGTATTTAAGTTCAGCGCCGTTCTCAGTCGGAGAAAACCGAACAACGAGACGCGCATTATGATTTTTTTCCTGAGGTAACTAAATCGTAGCGCTCGCGCCTCTGGTTTGAATGCTAACGGTAGGTTAGCTAACTCTGAACGGTTCGCTACGGACGGTTTCTTACATTAAAACGCGATTTCTGACGTTAAATCGTGGTTTCTTTCGTAAAATAAGGGCTCGCTGTGGTGATAAAAGTAGCCGCGGGTGGATTAACGTGTTTTTTTACGGAGATTTTTACCTCTGAGGAAGAAGATGGCTCGTCAGGCTACGTGACCGTTGGGCTCCTCCGCCGCGCCGTGTCCGTCTGCTGGCCGTCAGTCGCTTTTTCCTCGGGAGATTTAACGTTACGGCGGAAAGAAACGTCGAGAAAGGGAAACGAAGGCACTCGAGCTTCTTCTTCTCAACGTTTCTCAGTTTCTTTCCTCGGTCGAAGTTGTCTAGTTGTCGGCGGCGTCGACGCGTTCAGGGGTAAACGTGAAGTTTTCAGTGGGGGAAATCTTTCACTTCAGTCGCTAAGCGGTAATTCAGCAGCATCGTGAGGGCACGACGCCTGTCATCCAGCGGTTAAGCTTCGCCGAGTCCTCCCGCAGAGGAGTCGTCTGTCTTGTAGTGGAAAAGCGAGTGAGGAGGAGAGAGGGAGAGAGAGAGGGAGAGGAAAGGAATGATGGTTTTTTTTTACTCCTCCAGATGTGCTGCTCTCGCTCTCTCTCTCTCTCTCTCTCTCTCTCTGTATGTGTGTATGCGACTCTCTCAAACACGTCACACCGTTCCACACATTAAAGGGCCACTCCAGCTGTTTTCCAAAAAAAATCTACATCATTAAACGGTTAAGATGTAAACAGAGTCATTTAGGGCGGTTCGGTGTGAAATGCTTCGTTCTAGAGAAACTTGGGTTCTAGAGTCAGAATTGCTCACAGTGGTGGTGATAGGAACCAGACGTCCACCTCTAAAAGCTCCCTCACAAAGGTTATTAACTACATTAAACGGTTAGGCATACACTGCCTGTTGTCTGAGACAGCGAGTGCGTTTGCATGCACTTAATAATCCGATAACTGCAGAAAATCAGATTTTGTCAGTAATCCGATCAACACGTTTGCATGCATTAGATAATGGGGAAAATCCAGGTCTACCTGAGTCGGGCAGTAATCAGATTTCTACTACAGCCAGCCAATAAACTCACAGAAGATGACGTGACGTAAATGTTAACGTAAAACTCAAACTTCATGCCGCATTTGTTTAAAACATGGAGTCACTTTACCTGAAAATATGAACATACATCATCTAGAAGATGAAGAATATTTAAATACTTTATTTTGTGTTTGGTTTCAGCGCAGCTCCAAAAGTGTTTTGCTGTGTCTCGCGACATTGACCGTCTGTTTCGCACATGCTCAGACTGAGAAATCCGAAGGAAATCAGAGTAAAAGTTTACATGCACTGAGAAATCTGATACTGAGCTAAAATCCAGCTCTCTTTATCAGATTTCTTAATCAGATTTCTAGATCGGAGTATGGTGTTTACACGACCATGTTTACGTCACGTCGTCTACTGTAAGTTTATTGGCTGATTGTAAAGCAGAAATCCGATTACTGCCTGACTCGTGTAGACCTGGAGTTTCCCCAGTATTTGATTACTTAAGTGCATGTAAACGTGTTGATCGGATTACTGACAAGATCTGATTTTCTCCGTTCATCAGATTATTCAGTACATGTAAACGCACTCACTGTCTTATAATAGTTTTGTGATAAATGTGTTTTAATCCATTCATGGTGAAGGGATACATACAGGGTGTTGTGACAAAATAGTCCCCAAAGAAAACTTATTTTTTTCAGATTTATGATTATTTTACCATCATTACGTATAAAACTCAGAAGAACATGTAGGTTCATTTGGTGGTTTTGGATAGTAAATAAAATGGCTATGTTTGTGTTGTGACCCCTGGTTCCCATCACCACCACTGTAAAGAAATATGAGCCTGTAAGTCTCTCTACAATGAACCGCAATGAACCATTTCAAGGGGGGAATTATTCCGAAATTGTGAAATTTTGGTAAAATTCCCTTTTAACAGCAGTCTGAAAAACTACAGCCCTTCAGCTGCTTTGTTATTTAATTCAATGTTTATGACGTTATACTAATGCAAGGTTGTACAGTACAGTGAAACAATGTCTGGCTACTTCTCCATACAGTGATTAAAAATAGATTGATTCGTGGACAGTGTATACAGATATGTGTATAAACAATAACTGAAGGTCAGAAGGCAGAGGTAGTAAAGTACAAACTGAAGCTAATATACTGTAATAAATAAACTATAATAAATACATAAATTGTCAAAAAAATAGTTGCACCCAAAAGGAATCAACTGACAGGAATGAAACTTGGTGGGTTGGTTTCACATCGTGAGACATGCGAATGATTCAAGTTTCACCCTCAGCTGCGCATGTGACGTAAGCAAGGACGGGCCTTATCGCTGTACCTGGCTATGTAAGGTCGTCCCATTGCGCATGCTTTCCATTCTGACTTGTGCTGTTGTGTTGGTAGCATCTTTTGCAAGCGAAGTCTGCCTTGGTGGTCAAAAGCTATTTAAACAGTCAGAAGATTTCGAGAGGGGTCGCATCGCAGGGCTCCAGGAAGCGGGATGGTTTTATCGATGTATTGCATGCCATACTGGTCGTGCGGATATTACCATAGCACGCTGTTGGCAGCAGTGGATAGAAGAAGACATGCACCAGCGACACCAACTATCTGGGAGACCTACATGAACCATGGAGAGGGAGAACCGACAGATTGTCCAACATGCGCAGAGTGACCCAGCAGCCACGATTGAGGACATTCAGCGAGCAGTGATGCTCTTGATGAGTCATGCTGTTAGGGCCAGCACCATTGGCAGACGGCTGCACGATGCAGGACCACGTGCACGACCGTTACAATGACTGGCCTTAACACCTTGTCAGTGTCGCCAAAGACTGCAGTGGTGTTGGGTCAGACTGTCATGGAGTGACTCAGAATGGCAGCAGGTCATCTTCAGTGACGAGTCCCGCTTTTGTCTTGGTGGAGATGACCAGCGAATCCGTGTGTGGAGGCATCGTGGTCAGTGCAAAGATGAACGGTTTGTTGTCACGCGTTGCACGTCCAGAAGGGCTGGCGATGCAAATTCATTACAATGGCAGATCACCTTTGGTCTTTATTACAGGCACTTTGACAGCCCAACGTTACATTAATGAGGTCCCCTACCTTTTCTGAGCGCACACTCCGGTGCGCTATTCCAACAGGACAACGCTCGTCCGCATACTGCTGCCGGCTCGAGAGCTTCTTTTGAAGACACAGATACTATGCCGTGGCCAGGTGCATCGCCAGACCTATCTCCGATTGAAAATGTGTGGGATGCAATTGGACATGCTATCAACACTCCATCCCTGCCGCAAAATCTGCAGGAACTGCGTGAGAATACTCAAGCTGCATGGGATGGATGCATGGGATCATAGGCCACCATTATGAACCCCTACAACTCCATTCCAAGACGTCTTGGAGTGTAGCGTTAGCAAACATGGCGGCCCGACGCCACACTGAGAGACCCTACTTCTGTATGTGTAGCTCAATAAATATTTTCCATATCAGTCTAGATTTTGAATCATTTATTCTTCTTGGTAACCTTTACCTTCCGTCCGAATAGCATTGCAATCCAACACTTCTGGTTCTACAGTAGTTCTACTGGTTCTAATCTTCTTCTTGGCGCAACTCTTTTTTTGACGATGAGTGTCTAGCACTGAGCAGTTTACACTTTAGGTGTTTATAGTGTTTATAGTTGTTGTTTGTTGGCTAGTAGAGTCACCTGACACCATACCCAGGCACGAGTTATAATAATGATTCAGGTAAGCAGAAGTACCTTAAGATGGTTCTTCAAGGGCTCTTTAGTAAAGAAAATGGTTCTATATAGAACAATGAACACTCAAAGACCCCTTTGCATGATTAAAGTGTTCTTTTGTGTCGTAAAATGGTTCTTCATATTGATAGAGAATGTGCTGTCAGTGGTTCTATATAGAAGCTTTTTGAAAAGGGTTCTATACAGCACTAAAAAGGGTTCTTCTGTTGTTATAAGCTTGACATCATAACAATGCAAGAGCCCTTTTTGGTGCTATATAGAAAAACATATAGTTTGGATCATTTCGTGATCCAAAGACCCTTGAATCGTGCACATGGTTCCTTGAGTGTTCATAGTTCTATATAGAACCATTTTCTTTACTAAAGAACCCTTAAAGAACCATCTTTGTTACGAGTGTATAGCAAAAACAACAACTTGAGTTGAAGTATAAAATTACTTGTAGACCTACTGTAAAACTTCTATTAAATATCTATTAACACAGGAACTGATTTAGAGTCTTGTCTCCTCTTTTTTTCTCTCCTTTCAGTCTAAAATAAGATAATAAACCTGAAAAGTGAGAAGTACAGATGTTGTCACCAACGAAACCATAACATAACTAAACACAGGTAAGGAATTAGTAAATAATGACTATAAATGAGTAAAAAGTTGATTCCTCATAAATATGCTTGAGTAGAAATATAGGAATTATCATTTGAAAATGCTCAGTGTTCATCCACCTTTAGATATTTATCATTACTGATAAATGTATGATGATATTTATGGTTATTGTGATAAATTATGTGACATTATTTTACACTGCTTTTCTGAGCGTATTGTGGATATCATCAGTACTTAAAGAACACTGATTAACTGCATGCCTCGTTACAAAAACAGCATAATTGGTCCTGTTTAATTGGCTTTAGATCATCATATACATAGTTGGTGATGGTATGTTTTAAATGTGGCACTACAGATGTGCATTGTGAAAATGTCTTTAAGCATTGTAATACAGTGTGATTCAGAAAGATTCATCCGATTTCAAAATGATTTATTTCACTGGTAAATCATTACAGAACATTGCAGTAAACTGTAAATGGTTTAAATGAGCATAAAGTTTATTATATAATTGTACAAATGCTCAGTATGAACCTCCTCCAGCTGTACGGACGACATCAACGCCATAGTCAAATTCATCCCATACTGGATTGAGCATGGCAGGTGTCGCTGCACTCACGGCTCTTTCAGTGAGATTTCGGAGATCATCCAGTGTTGTGAAACCAACGATAAACGCTATGAGCTGTTGGAGCTTCACTGCCCATGAAAATCATGCTGCATGGATTCACTCTTATTGAAGTGGAGAATGCAGAACGCTTTCTGCTCAGGGGTCTCCATCTCCTCTCAGACTGAAGGGAGCCATCTTCTGGTGACAGTCAGAAACTATGACCCCCTCTTACAATTGGTATGTGATTGGTTCCTAGGCGCCTCACAGTTGTAAAAATACGGCGCTTTGAAATCGGATGAATCTTTTTCTATTTACCCAGTATTGTTGTGATAAGGCTGATAAGGCATGTTTTTGCCTTATCAGTCACCTCTGATAAAATGCATTTCATGCATAGTAAAATGATTGAAAAAAAAGGAGAAAAAAGTTTAGAGTCAGATTTATTCATAAAGATTTAGTAATTTTTCTGTTTGTTTGTATTCATTTTATTATTATTCACAATTTCTTACCAATGTTATGGCATTGTTTGATGCCCTGTATTTAAAATATAGGGGTCAGTAAGCATGGATTGGCTTTTTAATGTAAAAATGTAACAAATGAACTTAGAAGAGAAAAGGAAGGACCAGATTTATCTACAAATGTCATGTTTAACGACAATAAATGCTTTGATAGCTTCCTTTTTTGCTTGTATTTAGAAATGTATGGTCTTGCTTAAGTAAAAAAGGGTGTGGTTTTCATTTTCTATATGTAACTTTATATATATAACTCTTTTAAACTGTATATTCAGTGTGTATTTCCAAAAATGTCTTTTTTTTGGATTTAATCCAAAGTGCATAAACAATGAAAAAATAAATGGAAAACTGTTTCCTTTTTGCACTTACAGGAATATACAGTGTTCAATTAAAATTGTTCTATCATAAATTTGACATGATAAATGATATGCAGTATTTTAAAGAACACTCCCTTCACTTTACTAGGTATAATGACTTGATCAGATGTCACCTAAGCTTCATGCCAAGCACTGGAAATGCTGCTGTTGGACGGGAGGACTACAAAAGACCACCCTGAATCCACTGAATCTATCCCTGCAGACTCCATCTACCCAAATCCAAGGCCTCAACGTTCCTCCAAACAGTTATGTAACTGCAACCAGAGGTGGGTAGAGTAGTCTAAACCCACACTTGGGCCAAAGTTTTGTCACTTCCTTGAAATGACTCAAGCATAAGCGCGCAAAAGCACCAGAGCACCACCTGGTGGTCATGCAGTGTTTAGTGCACCTCGTCCGCCAGTTGGAGTTTCCAGTGAATACTGGGGGAATAAGTTTAGTCAGGGATGGTTGGATATGGCCAGTTACTTTTCTCACTTGGTGACGCCTAAAACGTGACCAATTACAGATGTGCTAGTCGTCAGCTCATCAACATAATGGACGTTTTTCAAGCCACCACTGGCCACCACTAGAGTGGACCTGCCAGGCAGTAATCTCTACTTGTGTGAACTGCATCTAGACCTGAGTGGCTGTTGCTCCTGGGCTGAAGTGGCTGCTACCAGGGCCAGCACTGCTGAGACAGCTGCTAAGGGATCAAAGGTGCTGGTTAGGTAGCAGATCCAGGGCCAGGTCAGTCTGGCTGTGTCTTTTGGTAGCCACCAGTTGCCACTAGGCTTGACGTTTCATTGTCATGCAAATATTGGACTCATAGTGACTAATTAAAAAGGCTGTATCGTTGCTGTTATAAACAGTTATAGCAACATTTCTTGCTATAAGCAGCAGCTTAGAGCCCCTGAACTTGAGGGCCGCCCACATTTTTTGTTGTTTTTCATTTTTTACATAATTTGAAAATGCCTGCTATCCTTTATATTGTTTGTAAATTTCAACATGAATGGACCAAAATAAACAGCCCAAAATTGCTTGGACAAATGTCTGGTTCCATTGACTTACATTAAAAGTAAAGAATATTTTTCTTTCTCTTGTAAAGTTACCACTTTGGAGGTACGAGGTCCGACAGCAGCGATATAAACTAACTATGTATAACAAAACTTTGTATTTCTAAAATAGTAGGTTTACAGGAGAAGATGGAAAATAGTCTTAACTTTCTAAAGAAGTCAGTGTAAAAGATTTTACTCTAAAGAATTCCACATCATGTTAGAGCATTTCAACCAGTTCATTTCAATCAGAGCAGTTCATTTTCAAGAAATATTCAATGTAAATGGTAACTGTCTCTCGCTTGCTCTGTCTCTCTCTGCACACACAAACACACACAAACCCACACACACACACACACACACACACACACACATACATATATATATAGTGCTAAGAATATATGTTTCATTTTTGTCACTAATTTGTTGTTTGTGTTTATTTTATTTGCGTAGTCAAAGTTTATGTATATAGCGCTTTTTACAACAACAGATTTACAGAAAAATCCGTTTCCAAGCCCCCATGAGCGTTGCTAATGGTGACGGTGGTAAGGAAAAACTCCCTAAGAGCAGGAGAAAGAAACCTGAGAAGAACCAAGACTCAAAAGGAGCTTAGAAATTGTCGTTGTAAATTCTGTTTGTCCCAAAGATAGTTAATTACTGTTTTATTGAGTGAACTCTAGTATTTATTAAACTGTTTCCCTGAACATGAATGAAAATGAATGAAGTATTAATTCTTTTCCTTTTTTCATGCAAAATGATAGGACTGGAGTGGAAAGACGCCAAAATTAGATCTTGCTTAAGGTACCAAAATGTTCAGAAACAGGCCTGATCATAAGAAACAAATCATAATCATAAGAAAAAATGTTCTTAACATCTGTTAATGTAATTAAAAAACTAAAAGAACTTGCTTTCCAATTTTTCTGTTGATCCTTTTGTACAGTTAAAAGCAGAATTTAGATTTTTCTAAATTTCTCATGAATTAAAATGCTCCATTCTGGATAAACTTACCGAGTCAGAATTGTTGGTGGTGATAGGAACCAGACGTCTGAAGAGTTTAATGCCTCCCAAAATGGTTATGAATACATTGCATGAAGCTTGAGACGTTGAAAAACTGTAGTGGGCTTTGTTCAGTGCCTCAGTCCAAATGTCTCTTTTTTACCTTCTCTTCAGGCTCTGTGATTGGCTCAGGCAGCAGCTGTCACTCATAATGGCTGACGCGTTCGTGTCCTGCTCCACCCCTCGCCCTTCCTCGGGGGGTATATATAGCTTGCAGGAGAGGCTTGGCACCCCTGGCAGTCGAAATGAAACTCCTGCTCCCATTCTCCTGCCTGGTCAGCCTGCTGGCCCTCACCACCGCAGGTAAGAGTGTGTGTATGCGTGCAAGATCAGCTGCTCTGTCAAATCAGGATAGAACGTCATTGAAGGGGTACTTGGCTTGATATGCATTGGTGTTGGTTCTGGGGTGGTTCTTCGTTAAAGCCTATATGATAAGTTGAAAATATTAGATTTGCTTAATATAATATCATAAATTCATCCTTTGTAAGCTTATATACAGTAAAATATCTTTACTGCTCTGGTAAATTAAAAAGGATGAGTTAGACTTAGAGGCTGGGAAGGTCTTTAGGTTTTATAAGACCACAAGCAACAGGTATGTAACCAGTAGCTGCACCTGTTGAATAAATATTTATGCCATTGGTCACTGAATACATATTCAGGTTTGAGCACAGATCAGTGTTTGATGAACTGCTCTTTTGCTCTTTTTCTCTCTTGCACGCTAATAGCTTTATCTGTGCATTGAGTAAATTTGAACCATTAATTGTTGGACCTAAGCACTTATCTTTATGTATTTGGCATGTAAAGCAAGTCATTAACGTAAGCGATACCATCCATGTAGAGATATTCAGTGTTCTGTTTTCGAAGAGGAAGAAATCAAATGGATACAAACCTTAAAGAGTGACTCCACTGATTATTTCCTAAATGTGTGCATAATTCAGTCATTGAGAATTTAAGTCATTCATAGTGATTTGATGTGAAACAGTTCATTGTAGAGAAGCTTGTCGACGTCACTGTGGTGGTGATAGGAACCAAGGTCATTTTATTTACCATCTGAAATGACCAGTGAACCCACAGGAGTTTTTATATGGTAAAACTGAACCAGAGCTTTTCACATCAAACCGCTCTGAATGACTCGACCGTTTAATTATGGAGATATTTTGAAAAATCGGTGTAAGTCCCCTTTAGGTCTGTATACGTACTACTGATTACACACATGTAAGTTTTTGTATTCCTGCCTTTGTGGGGTGTTTCAGTGTCCTTCTATATGATTGCATATAAATGCTGCCGTGCTCCAAAAAAACAACCCTCAGCAACCAAAAGATCAGCTTTGGCCTCTTTCACTTTTTTAAAACTACAGTTTTCAATTAAAAAAAAAAAAGCAATTTTGGGACATTTGGACCCACAAAGAGCTAAACACACGCATACGCACACATACAAGAGGGTGTCAGCTGCTGTGAAGTGTAGCGCCAGCTGATGGAAAGTGTGAATAAAACACACAGCTACGCATCCGCACAGTAGCTGCTTGGTAAACGCATTATATTAAATGGTAAATTTGCTCTGGTTCATATGTTCTCAGCTTGTATCTAAACCATATTACTAAAAATTGAGTTTTCATTGGTTAATTTATCATATTATTCAGCCTGTTGTTCACATGAGGCTATTGATTTTTAACAAAACATTAGAGGTGGGAATGAAAGAATGAAAATTATAGATAATTAAAAAAAAATCAAATGGGCTCTGTTAGATACTCATCCAAGGCATAACCGTAAACAATTTCACCATTTTAACTCAAGCCAAACAAATTCTGCTGCATTTCTTCTAATCGTACCAGACAAAGCATTAATGAACCTCATATTGCGTTTGTGAATATGTGAGTGTTTCTTGATAGTTAGTGGAAATGGCTTGTATGATATTTCACAACATATTGTAATGCCCCTCTAATCAGAGTCATAGCTGCATGTTATGACCATTAAACACTGTATTGCATGCAAAATCTCAAAGACTGAGCATCTCAGAGCATCGGTGTTGTTCTGAGGGCAGCATTTGCATTAACTGACATTTAAAAAGCCAAAAGCTGTTCCTAGATCAGCAGTGTAATGGGTCCAGGGGTCCGACGACCCCTGACTTGTCTGAGTGTGCCAGTAGGGAGTTGGGATTGCAGTGTTTTGCCACTGCACATAGAGAGCATGCTTGTAAGGTGATACTGTGCTATTACATTGCTGATTCATGACTGTATCAGGCAGAGTCTCTGATTCAGGCTTACATTCACAGCTCTGTTCACCACTTTAACCACATGTGAAGTGGTTTGCATACATTTCTATGATGAGGCCAACCTCCAGGTGGTATTAGACACTGTAGTCTCAGCTTGGCATGATATCGTCTGAGCATTGGCGAACATTTAGAGTTCAGATCTGGTCTGTGACAGTAAGACAGGCTCGTTGGATTTTTGAAAGGCAAAAACCAGTTGACCCTTGTGACCACTGCTTGTAGGCCTCTGTGTACTACAAGTATTTTAACCAGCCTGTCCTTGTCTGACCTTGTGCCTCTTCTACCTATCTATCTATCTATCTATCTATCTATCTATCTATCTGTCTGTCTATCTATCTATCTGTCTGTCTACCTCTCTGTCTATCTATCTATCTATCTATCTATCTATCTATCTATCTATCTTCTTGCCAACCATTTCTCTTTCTCTTTGTGAGCACAAAGTGCTCTGAAACTGCTCTCACACATTCTAAAACCCACAGCCACACACTTCTACGCTCAGTTCTCTCACTCACACACACACACACACACACACACACACACACACACACACACTCCCTGCAGCTGCCGTCTCTTCGGCACTGTCTCAATCAGCATTTATTTCTGTCCCGCCAGCCTTGTAGGGACATCCTTTATTTGAACAGAGGGACTCGGAGCCACTGTGCTGTAGTAGGGCCTGTTTTAGCACTGGGGGGGCTTTCCCCACACACCCCCCTCCAACACACTGCTCCACTCGGTTAACCTTCACATTCTGTTCGGCTTTACGGCCGGTAATGACAACGGCTGCATCCGCAAACGCAGGTATCGAGCTGCTGCAGCCACAGTACAGATCAGTAGTCTGAGTTTGCTCGCTTTTCTACAACTGATATAACTGCAGAAATGTCTGAAGAAATGACTCACAGGAAAGGAATATCAAAGCAATGAGTATGAGAATTCTGTAAACAAGTTACTGTTCGCTTAAAACATACATACACGCTTAAAAAAGTTTGTTCTTCAAGGGGTCTTTAAAGAAAATGGTTCTGTATAGAACCATGAACACTCAAAGAACCCTTTGCATGATTAAAAAAAGAGTTCTTTGCATCGTAGCAGTGTTCTTCAGACTGATGGAGAATTCGCTGTAGATCCCGTGTGTCAAACACAAGGCCAGCCACACAATCCTGTCTGGCCCGCAAAAGTATTTTAATTTTCTATTAATATTAGCCCTTTTCACAGTGTGCTACACTACAGTCCCCAGCATGCACTGCAACGTAATGTGCGCTCCGACCCCAACAACAGTCTATGGGACCGCAGTTACACCTCAGTTCTTCACAGTTCCACACCAGTCATATCACCAAAATGCATTCAGCTGCAGTTTAATCTTAACATTAGCTCAGCAGCTCAGAAAAAAGGCCAAAGCTTAATGAACTTGTAGCAAAGAAGGGAGGTCAGGTGTCAAATTCAAGCAGATGTGCAAGCAAAAGTGTCTGCTGAGGTTTTTGCATATTTTGAATAAACAATAGTTTTCAGCTTAGTTCAGGTTACAGCACAACATTAATTCAAAATGAAATAAAACCTTTTTTTTCTCTGGCCCACAGATTTGATGAGATATTTTAAGATGGTTCTGCACCGATCCTTGTTTCTACACTCATTGTCCATTTTATCAGCTCCACTTACTATATAGGAGCACTTTGTAGTTCTACAGTTACAGACTGTAGTCCATCTGTTTCTCTGCATACTTTGTTAGCCCCCTTTTACCCTGTTCTTTAGTGGTCAGGACCCCCATGGACCCTCACAGAGCAGGTACTATTTGTGTGGTGGATCATTCTCAGCAATAATAAACTGACCATTATGGAGTCCAGACTCATTGAGTGTGTTTAAAATCACTTGGATGGTGAGAAGCAGCAAATGCAACCAACTTCTAAGACCGAACTTTGGAGGGGTGGGAAAACATCCCTGCAATTGTTTTGCAAAACTGACAGCAAGTCTTATGAGAAGAAAGGAAGCTGATACAAAGTGGAATGGGTGGGCACACTGAATAAATGAAGGGAGGTCTGCGACTTGCACAGTACACACAAACACTCTCTCTCTCTCTCTCTCTCTCTCTCTCTCTCTCTCTCTCTGCACTAGTCTCTAAAGTAAAGCTATTCCTTTGGGTGAAGGGAGGTCCTCCACAAGGATCTCGAGAAAGACTCCCTCGTTCCCTCAGCATCATTATTAATTTACCATGATCGGACTCCATGGTGGAATGCAGCTCCGTGGGGGTTGACCTGCTGTAATGAAGTACATTCCCACGTGATTTAGAGCATATAATCCCAGAGCATCTCTAGCATGCTTACAAACTCATTTAAGCACCTGTAATTGGCATCAGTTTGAAAAACTGTGATACACGACAGCGGAAGGTTCCCATGCGCTCCATATCCAGAATGCCAGATCAAAGTTTTAGTCAGTATGTGCTTATGTAATGTCTATGAAGCTTATTTTTCCATGAGTACTATACTACAGTGTTATTTATAACAATGCACTTAGTAGAACGACGGACGGGAGCGTCATTCTTATGTAAGCAGTAATGGCGATCCGCTGCAATGCAATTACTGTACCAGCAAGTGCAGACAGCACTACCCAATTAAATCAGCGGGGGTCTATGAGAGAGTGGAAGAGACAGAGTGAAAGACGAAGAGATAGACAGAGTGAGTGAGTGTGTGTGTGTGTGTGTCAGAGAGAGAAATATTTTTCTCCCACGCCAACTTGGCTGCAAGGCCTTGTCCATTCAATTAGAGACTTCGAAGGAACACTCAAGTCAAGCAGCGAGCTCCATTTACGAGCGAGTTCAGAGAGCTAAGAGCAAGGTGTGAATGCCAGAGGTGAGAAGGATTCCTCTGAGCTCACACAGGACTCAGTGCTGCCCTCTGCTGTAAAAAGCCTCTGGTGTGCCATTAGCAGGATTAGCATAAATTTGGTATTTTACCCCTGGGTTGTCTGTGATGCTTTTTCCACATGTCTGACAATTAGCTGATCTTTTTTCCTTGATTATGGAAAAGAGGTGGGCTCTGCAATGCAGT